CTGATGTGCTTCGTTCAGTTACGTATTGCTCCCTCTTGCTTGCCCCCTCACCCCCGCGCCCCCTCACCCCCGCGCCCCCCCTCACCCCCGCGCCCCCCCTCACCCCCGCGCCCCCTCCACCCCGCACCCCCCCTCACCCCCGCCCCCTCACCCCCCCCGCGCCCCCCTCACCCCCGCGCCCCCCCCTCACCCCCGCGCCCCCCTCCACCCCCCGCGCCCCTCTCACCCCCCGCGCCCCCTCACCCCCGCGCCCCCCTCACCCCGCGCCCCCTCACCCCCGCGCCCCCTCACCCCCTTGCCCCCCTCACCCCCGCGCCCCCTCACCCCCGCGCCCCCTCACCCCCCGCCGCCCCCTCACTTTGCCCGCCCCCTCACCCCCGCGCCCCCCTCCACCCCCCGCCCCCCTCCACCCCCGCCCCCCTCCACCCCCGCCCCCCCTCACCCCCGCGCCCCCTCACCCCCGCCCCCCCTCACCCCTGCGCGCCCCCCTCTTGCGCCCCCCTCACCCCCCCCGCGCCCCCTCACCCCCGCGCCCCCTCACCCCACGCCCCCTCCTCCCCGCGCCCCCTCACCCCCGCTCCCCCCTCACCCCCGCGCCCCCCCCCTCACCCCCGCGCCCCCTCACCCCCAGCGCCCCCTCACCCCCCGCCCCCTCACCCCACCTCTTCCCCCACCCCCCCTCACCCCCTGCCCCCCCCTCACCCCCCGCGCCCCCCCTCTCCCCCTCACCCCCCTCCTTGCCCCCTCTTCTTCCCCCTCCCCCGCCCCCTCTTGCCCCCTCACTTGCCCTTCCCCCCTCCCCCGCCCCCCTCTTGCGCCCCCCTCTTGCCGCCCCCCTCACCCCGCGCCCCCCCTCTTGCTCCCCTCTGCCCCCCCCTCTTGCCCCCCTCACCCCCTTCCCCCCACTTCCCTTCCCCCCTCCCTGCCCCGCCCCCCTCTTGCCCCCCCTCGCCCGCCCCCCTCACCCCCACCCGCCCCCCTCACCCCGCGCCCCCCTCACCCCACGCCCCCCCTCACCCCCTCGCCCCCTCACCCGTCCCCCCTCACCCCGCGCCCCCCTCACCCGCCCCCCCTCACCCGCCCCCCTCACTTGCCCCCTCTTGCCTTACCCCCCTCACCCCCACGCCCACCCCGCCCCCCCCTCACCCCGCGCCCCCCCTCACCCCTCGCCCCCCCCTCACCCCACAGCCCCCCTCACCCCTCAGCCCCCTCACCCCACCCAGCCCCCTCACCCCGCGGCCCCCCTCACCCCGCGGCCCCCCCTCACCCCCGCGCCCCCCCCTCACCCACCCGCCCCCCTCACCCCCTCACCCATGCCCCCTCACCCCGCGCCCCCCTCCCTCCCGCTGCCCCCTCACCCCGCGCCCCTCACCCTGACCCCCCTCACCCCGAGCCCCCTCACCCTGACCCCCTCACCCCGCGACCCCTCACCCGCACGCCCCCTCACCCCACACCCCCCTCTTGCGACCCCCCCTCACCCCGCGCCCCCTCACCCTGACCCCTCACCCCGCGACCCCCCCTCACCCCGCGACCCCTCACCCCGCGACCCCCTCACCCCCCACCCCTCACCCCGTGCCCCTCACCCTGACCCCCTCCTAAAGAAAGAAAAACAAATATCAAATTGACCTATTCGCTATAACTTGGCGACACTGGATAATATTTCACTAATCACAAAGTTGTTTTCTCTCTCTGATGATCCATAGTGAAGAGCGTTACAAAAACTGAGAACTACATTTGATTTGTTTTATTGATAATTACTATTTTATAAGCCAATACCGATAGAATGTCTCGACCCTTCACGATCACGTCATTAGGAACTGTAAATGTGAAACCAGACTTTAAAAAATATATATATATATTAACAGATTATACCAAAGAAAAAAAAAATTATAACAGTCAGTGTGTGTGTGTGTGTGTGTGTCTGTGTGTGTGTGTGTGTGTGATCTTAAAACCTCCAGCAATACACAGTTAGAAACCCATAATAAAGACCACAGGCCATTGTAAGAGAATATTATTAAATTCAAACCTACACACAGGTATTAAGTATAGTATTAGAAACCATGTCATATAAACTACTAAAAAAAACCTTTGTTATATGATTAAAAAAAACCCAAAAGGAAGAGAAACCAGGACATAAGAGTGTATAGAATGAGATCTGGTAAGAGAGAGAGGGAGAAACCTATTACAGTGGAGTGATTGTTATAGTGAGAACCAATTTGTGATAGTTATTTTGGTTAAGACAGTGAGAGATATTTCTGGAGTAGATACCCCTTAAAACCAACTCTCTCGCTCTTTCACTTGCACGTATCATATCTTAACTTAACCAGATTTTTATATATTTATATTATTTGATTAATTATAATATTTAAGTCTACAGTATTTTTATTCCTATCTAAAATGGTGTATTAACTATTCCTTTCATTACAATACCTGAAAAATTCCTTTCATTACAATACCTGAAAAATAGTCATGTTTAGGGGAAACTCAAGTATTATTTCATGCGTAAATTTAATTTTTTGTCATTTTCACAATTTCTTTGGTAAATATTTGGATTATTTTGTCAGAATTGCAACAGAAAACGTGAATGGAATGTGGCCCTGTTGTAGAGGTAACCAGGAGTGCCAGTCTCGGGGTCAATGCCATCAGCTGGTGTCAATGATTCACGTGGTTGTCTTGGTTTATTAACAAATATTAACATTATATTCTTTCTAAATATTCAAATAAACTTTATACACAACAAAAACAAAATTTTTCTGGCTAAATAAACTGCTTCAGTGTCAATATCTAAATTAAAAATCTAAACTTGCCTAAATCTTGATGCCATTTTACACTCATCAAATTCTTAGAAAAAAATATACGTAAATTATCAAAACCAATATAAAAATTACTATAATACCTAAAAAAAAAAGTTGAATTATATAAATACCAAATATATATATATGGCATTTCTTCTGTAGGTGTTTGTTAAAGAATGCGTCTGTAGGTCACCGATCAATAATTGCCGGGGGGAATATTGGAATGTTTACCTGATGACGTCACACCACAACACCTCTTTCTGGGAACTACCTTGTTTGTTTGTTATTTGTCTCTTGTTTTGTTTTGCTTGCCTGTTTGTTTGTTTGTGTCACCTGTTTGTTGTTTTATGCTTGTGAAGTTGTTGTTGTTTATGACCTGTTGCTTCTCTTGCTTGCGATTTTTTTATATTACTTATAATTACTTAAATGTTAATTGATAAACTTTATGAAGTAATTTTTAGTCTTTACTGATTACTTAATGATATAATGGCGGTAAGGTATTTGTAAGTAATTATAGTAAATATTTAAAGTATTTGTAAGTGATTTATCTCCCTGTGATCTCTCTCAATCTCAAAATATCTCTTAGTATCTCTGTTAAATATGTCTGTATTATATCTCTTTATTTCTCACCTAACGTAGATAATACCTCTCTCTCTCTCTCTCTCTCTCTCTCTCTCTCTCTCTCTCTCTCTCTCTCTCTCTCTCTCTCACCTTACGTAGATAATACCTCAGTGTCTTACCTTACCCTAAAGTATATCTCTCTCTCTGTGTCTCATTATCTCCCAGGGGATATATCTCTCTCATCTCTTACGCCGACGTCTCTTTGTAAGTGATTTGTCCATCTTGTCTCTCTCTCTCTCTCTCTCTCTCTCTCTCTCTCTCTATGTTGTTCTAATCTCTTTCATTTCTTTCGTTTCCTTTTCATTCATATTATTGTCTCTTCTTGTTCTTTATTGCTTTGTACTATCTCTTAATTATCTCATTGTGTCTCTTATTCATTATTATTACCTTTCTTCTTCTTCTTTTCATTTATTTCTCTCTCTCTCTCTCTCTCTCTCTCTCTCTCTCTCTCTCTCTCTCTCTCTCTCCATTTTATTTATCAAGTTATCTCAATTTATCTTCTTCTCATCTTTCTTTTTTCTTTTTTATCAAGTTCTTCCATTTTCTACTTTCATGTGTTTAAGTCTATTTAATCCCCCTATTTAAGTCTATTTAATCCCCCTATTTAAGTCTATTTAATCCCCCTATTTAAGTCTATTTAATCCCCCTATTTAAGTCTATTTAATCCCCCTATTTAAGTCTATTTAATCCCCCTATTTAAGTCTATTTAATCCCCCTATTTAAGTCTATTTTATCCCCCTATTTAAGTGTAATTGAACCTTCTCCCTCTTCCCCTGTCAAACATCCCTCCCTTTTCCCTGCCTTTCTCCCCTTCCTCCCTCTCCCCTTCTCCCTTCTCCTTCCTCCCCTACCATCTCATTTACCCCCCTCCCCCCTCCCCTCCACCTGTCTTGGTCAATAATATGTATCTAACTCTCATACCTCCTTTCCTGTACTAATGCGCACCCCCTTCTGCCCTCCTCTCCCCCCTCCCCCTAGCGTGAGGCAGCCACCCCCCACGCAGCAGAGGTTCCACCCCCCCGCGCCAGTGTGCCGTCAGCAGTCACCATCACCACCACACCCACCCATCACTCGAGGTTAGTCTCTCTCTCTCTCTCTCTCTCTCTCTCTCTCTCTCTCTCTCACGCCCTACGAGCTATTACCTATTAGTGTTTTTTCTATTAATTGGGATAAATAGGTAAATAGGTGGTAATGCTTTACTGATTATGATATATTTAAGATTTTTTTTCTTGAAATAGGACGAGTTTGTATTGGATCTCTGTTATTCACGCCTATTTAGATCCTATTTTCTTTGTTAATCAGTCATTACGTCTATTAACCTATTTTAAACCCGTAATTAACCACCTCCCTCCCTTACTATCACTAATGCTATTTTGGTGGTCGACAAGATAGAGTTTGGATAATTACTTGTTCTAATGACCTTATTAGTACTTGGGAAACACTTGACCCTAAGAGTAATAAGTTAAATTACCTTGACAGAGGGAAGAGCTACAGGTGGTGTTATTATTATTATTATTATTATTATTATTATTATTATTATTATTATTATTATTATTATTATTATTATTATTTATTCAGTAAGGTTGTCATACAGGTTTACAATTGGGTAAACATGTATATAAACAATGAAGGTATACAGTGCAGCATGAATGTAGACAATGAAGGTATACAGTGCAGCATGAATGTAGACAATGAAGGTATGCAGTGCTGCATGAATGTAGACAATGAAGGTATGCAGTGCAGCATGAATGTAGACAATGAAGGTATGCAGTGCTGCATGAATGTAGACAATGAAGGTATGCAGTGCAGCATGAATGTAGACAATGAAGGTATACAGTGCAGCATGAATGTAGACAATGAAGGTATGCAGTGCTGCATGAATGTAGACAATGAAGGTATGCAGTGCAGCATGAATGTAGACAATGAAGGTATACAGTGCAGCATGAATGTAGACAATGAAGGTATACAGTGCTGCATGAATGTAGACAATGAAGGTATACAGTGCTGCATGAATGTAGACAATGAAGGTATACAGTGCAGCATGAATGTAGACAATGAAGGTATACAGTGCAGCATGAATGTAGACAATGAAGGTATACAGTGCTGCATGATGTAGACAATGAAGGTTTACAGTGCAGCATGAATGTAGACAATGTAGGTATACAGTGCTGCATGAATGTAGACAATAAAGGTATACAGTGCTGCATGAATGTAGACAATGAAGGTATACAGTGCAGCATGAATGTAGACAATGAAGGTATACAGTGCAGCATGAATGTAGACAATGAAGGTATACAGTGCTGCATGAATGAACAATGAAAGAGTATACAGTGCTGCATGAATATGAACCCAATGAAAGGTATACAGTGCAGCATGAATGTAGACAATGAGGTATACAGTGCAGCATGAATGTAGACAATGAAGGTATACAGTGCTGCATGAATGCTTGAACAATGAAGGTATACAGTGCAGCATGAATGTAGACAATGAAGGTATACAGTGCTGCATGAATGTATGAACAATGAAGGTATACAGTGCAGCATGAATGTAGACAATGAAGGTATACAGTGCAGCATGAATGTAGACAATGAAGGTATACAGTGCAGCATGACTGTAGACAATGAAGGTATACAGTGCAGCATGAATGTAGACAATGAAGGTATACAGTGCAGCATGACTGTAGACAATGAAGGTATACAGTGCAGCATGAATGTAGACAATGAAGGTATACAGTGCAGCATGACTTTAGACAATGAAGGTTTACAGTGCAGCATGACTGTAGACAATGAAGGTATACAGTGCAGCATGACTGTAGACAATGAAGGTATACAGTGCAGCATGAATGTAGACAATGAAGGTATACAGTGCAGCATGACTGGACAATGAAGGTTTACAGTGCAGCATGACTGTAGACAATGAAGGTATACAGTGCAGCATGACTGTAGACAATGAAGGTATACAGTGCAGCATGAATGTAGACAATGAAGGGATACAGTGCAGCATGAATGTAGACAATGAAGGTATACAGTGCAGCATGAATGTAGACAATGAAGGTATACAGTGCTGCATGAATGTAGACAATGATATATACAGTGCAGCATGAATGTAGACAATGAAGGTATAAGAAAAAGGTATGAATGTAGACAATGAAGGGTATACAGGCAGCATGAATGTAGACAATGAAGGCATACAGTGCTGCATGAATGTAGACAATGAAGGGGACATAGTGCTGTATGAATGTAGACAATGATATATAGTGCTGCATGAATGTAGACAATGAAGGTATACAGTATGAGTGTAGATAATGAAGGTGTATACAGTGCTGCATGAATGTAGACAATGAAGGTATACAGTGCAGCATGAGGTAGATAATGAAGGTATACAGTGCAGCATGAATGTAGACATATGAAGGTATACAGTGCAGCATGAATGTAGACACGATAGTATACAGTGCTGCATGAATGTAGACAATGAAGGTATACAGTGCAGTATGAGTGTAGATAATGAAGGCATACAGTGCAAGTATGAGTGTAGACAATGAAGGTACAGTGCTGCATGAATGTAGACAATGAAGGTATAAGAAAAGTTGCATGAATGTAGATACGAAGGTATAAGCAGTGCAGCATGAATGTAGACAATGAAGGTATACAGGCATGAATGGGAAAGACAATGAAGGTATACAGTGCAGGCGAATGTAGACAATGAAGGTATACAGTGCTGCATGAATGTAGACAAATGAAGGTACAGTGCAGCATGAATGTAGACAATGAAGGTATACAGCATGAGGTGTAGACAATGAAGGTATACAGTGCAGCATGAATGTAGACAACGAAGGTATACAGTGCTGCATGAATGTAGACAATGAAGGCATACAGTGCAGCATGAATGTAGACAATGAAGGTATACAGTGCAGCATGAATGTAGACAATGAAGGTATACAGTGCAGCATGAATGTAGACAATGAAGGTATACAGTGCTGCATGAATGTAGACAATGAAGGTATACACAGTGCTGCATGAATGTAGACAATCAAGGTATACAGTGCAGCATGGATGTAGACAATGAAGGTATACAGTATATGAATGTAGACAATGAAGGATACAGTGCAGCATGAGTGTAGAGACAATGAAGGCAGTGCAGCATGAATGTAGACAATGAAGGTATACAGTGCTGCATGAATGTGTAGACAATGAAGGTATACAGTAAGCATGAATGTAGACAATGAAGGTATATGCAGCATGAATGTAGACACGAAGGTATACAGTGCAGCATGAATGTAGATACGAAGGTATACAGTGCAGCATGAATGTAGACAATGGGCTGTATACAGTGCAGCATGAATGTTGTGTTACACAGCTTTGCACCTTAAAACACTGGGCTTCTTGGTGCCTGTTAACTCAGGGTGTGGCTGGTGTGTTATGACAGCTTTGCCACCTTAAACACTGGGTCATGCAGCTTCGTTAACTCAGGGTGTGGTTGTTGTGTTGGCGACAGCTTTACACTCTAAACACTGGGTCATGCAGCTTCGTTTACTCAGGTGTGTGGTTGTTGTGTTATGACAGCTTACACCTTAAACACTGGGTCATGCAGCTGTTAACTCAGGGTGCGGTTGTTGTGTTGGCGACAGCTTCTACACCTTAAACACTGGGTCATGCATTGTTAAATTCAGGGTGTGCTGTTGTGCTGGCGACAGCTTCTACACCTTAAACACTGGGTCATGCAGTTAACTCAGGGTGGTTGCTGTGCTGGTGACAGCTTCTACACCTTAAACACTGGGTCATGCATGCTCGTTAACTTAGGGTGTGGTTGTTGTGTTGGCGACAGCTTCACCTAAACACTGGGTCATGCAGCCTGTTAACATAGGTGTGGTTGTTGTGTTATGACAGCTTCTACACCTTAAACACTGGGTCATGCAGCTCGTTAACTCAGGGTGTGGTTGGTGTGTTGGCGACCAGCTTACACCTTAAACACTGGGTCATGCAGTCAGTTAACTCAGGTGTGGTTGGTGCCAGTTGGCGACAGCTACACCTAAACACTGGGTCATGCAGCTCGTTAACCTGCTAGGGTGTGGTTGTTGTGTTAAGGACAGCTTCTTACACTCTTAAACACTGGGCCTATGCAGCTCGTTAACTCAGGTGTGGTTGTTGTGTTGTGACAGCTTCTACACCTTAAAACACTGGGTCATGCAGGCCTGTTAACTTAGGGTGTGGTTGTTGTGTTGGCGACAGCTTCTACACCTAAACACTGGGTCATGCAGCTTCGTTAACTCAGGGGTGTGGTTGTTGTGTTGGTGACAGCTTCTATACCTTAAATGACTAGTCATGCAGCTCGTTAACCCAGGGTGTGGTTGCTGTGTTGGTGGACAGCTTACACCTAAACCCTGGGTCATGCAGCCTGTTAACTCAGGGTGGTTGTTGTGTTGGTGACAGCTTCTAAGCAATTTTAAACACTGGGTCATGCAGCCTGTTAACTCAGGGGTGTGGCGTTGTGTGTTGGCGACAGCTTTCATACCTAAACACTGGTCATCATGGAAGCTCGTTAACTCAGGGTGTGGTTGTTGTGTTGGCGACAGCTTCTACACCTAAGCACTGGGTCATGCAGCCTGTTAATCCTGTGGGTGTGGGTTGTTGTGTTGGCGACAGCCACACCCAAAACCCCAAGTCATGTGCTCGTTAACTCCAGGGTGTGGTTGTTGTGTTGGCGACAGCTTCTACACCTTAAACACTGGGTCATGCAGCTCGTTAACTCAGGGTGTGGTTGTTGTGTTGGCTTAAATAACTTCACGCCCATGTGGCCTGGCCATCCTCCTACAAGAAGGCCAACCATTATTATTGGTGGCCACGACACCACAGCTAGTGACGTCAACACATGATTTATACTGTTCACTTTTGTCATTTGGTGTGTGTGTGTGTGTGTGTGTGTGTGTGTGTGTGTGTGTTGACAGTTCCCTCACACACACACACACCTACGTCACTCTATGTGTGGGTGTGTGTACTTATAGTATGATCACATGTGTACGCCTGCTCTTGGTCCACACACACACACACTCCATCACTCAATAATACTTTTATATATCAAACATTCTTTCTCTCAAGGTTCTATACACACACTTTATACACACACTCCTACACACTATACACATATTCCCACACATAATTATATATACACTCCCATACACTATACACACACTCCCATACACTATACATACACATCACACTATGGCTAATAATACCCCATACACTATACACACTCCCCATACACTATACACACACTTCCATACACTATACACACACACTTACACACTATACACACACTCCCATACACTATACACACACTTCCCATACACTATACACACACTCCTACACACTATACACATACTCCCCACACTATACACACACTTACACACTATACACACACTTACACACTATACATACACTTTCCATACACTATACACACACTTACACACTATACACACACCTACACACTATACACACACTTCCATACACTATACACACACTTCCAGCATACACTATACACACATACCCCACACACTATACACACACCCCATACACTATACACACACTTACACACTATACACACACTCCCATACACTATATATACACTCCACACACTATACACACACTCCCCATACACTATACACACACACACTCCCATACACTCACATACACTTCCATACACTATACACACACTCCCCACACACTATACACACACTCCCTACACACTATACATACTTCCATACACTATACACACACTCCCACACACTATACACACACCCCACACACTATACACACACTTCCACACACTATACACACACACACTTCCACACACTATACACATACCCCACACACCATACACACACACTCCCCACACACTTCCATACACCATACACACACCTACACACTATACACACCTACACACTATACACATACTCCCATACACACTATGGTACACACACTTACACACTTTCATACATTTATATACACACTTCCCATACACTATACATACACTTCACACTAGCATATACACTTCCCTATACACTATACATACACTTCCATACACTATACACACACACTCCCATACACTTCCATACACTATACACACTCCCATACACACTTCCACACACTATACACACCCCACACACTGCACATACACTTCCACACACTATACATACACTCCCCACACACTATACATACCCACACACTATACACACACCCCATACACTATACATACACTCCATACACTATACACACACTCCATACACTATACATACACTCCCATACACTATACACACACTTCCATACACTATACATACACTTCCATAATTATACATACACTCCCCATACACTATACATACACTTCCAAGGGTTAATTATACACACACACTCCCCACATAATTATACATACACTCCTACACACTATGCACACACTTCCATACACTATACACACACACTCCCCATACACTATACATACACTTCCCATACACTGTACACATACTCCCACACTATACACACACTTACACTCCCCATACACTATACACACACTCCCCATACACTATACATACACTTCCATACACTGTACACATACTCCCATACACACTATACACACACTCCCCACACACTATACATAAATACTTCCATACACTATACACACTCCCACACACTATACATACACTTCCACACACTGTACACATACTCCCCACACACTATACACACACTCCTCTACACACTATACATACACTTCTCCATACACTGTACACATACTCCCCATACACTATACACACATTCCCATACACTATACATACACTTCCATACACTATACACATACTCCATACACTATACACACCTCCCATACTTCATACACTACACTCCCATACACTATACACACTTCCATACACTATACACATACTCCATACACTATACACACTCATCACTTCCATACACTATACCTCCCATACACTATACATACACTTCATTACTATACATACCTCCACATATACATACACTCCATACATAACATACCTTCCATACCTATACTCATACCTTCCATACACTATGCACCTCCCCATACATCTTCCATACATATACATATCCCATACACTATACATACCTTCCATACACTATACACACTCCACATACACTACATACACTCCCATACACTATACACACACTTCCATACACTATACCTTGCTCCCACTATACACACTTCCATACACTATACATACCTTCCATACACTATACATACTATCCTTCACTATACATACTTCTGTACACTATACACACCTCCCATACACTATTTTCCACACACTATGTCTTCCATCACTCCTCCATACCTGTATACACTTCCATACACTACACATCTCTACACTATACACACACTCCCCATACTCACTTCCACATACACTACATCCTTCCATACACTATACACATACTCATACACTATACACACACTCATACACTATCACATCACTTCCATACACTATACACACACTCCCATACACTACATACCTTCCATACACTGTAACATACTCATACACTATACACACACTCCCATACACTATACATACCTTCCATCACTGTACACACATTCCCATACACTATACATACACTTCCATACACTATACATACTCATACACTATACACACTCCCATACACTATACATCATACATCATCATACACTATACACATATATATACATACACTTCCATACACTGTACATACTCCCATACCATACTATACACACACTTCCATACACTATACACACTTCCACCCTATACACACTATACACTATACACACACTTCCACTATACACACACTCCCATACACTATACACTCCCATACACTATACATACACTTCCATACACTATACACACTCCCATCTTCTTACACACTCCCATACACTATATACACTCCCATACACTATACACTCCCATACACACACACTTCTACACTATACACACACTTCCATACACTATACACACACTTCATACACTATACACACACTCCCCATACACTATACACACTTCCCACACATACTCCATACACTATACATACACTTCCATACACTATACACCCTTCCATACACTATACACATACTCCCTTCTTATACACTCCCACACTATACATCCACTATACATCTATACACACTCCCATACTAATACACACCTTCCATACACTATACACACCCATACTATCATCCCATACACTATACACACTTCCATACACTATACACACACTCCCATACTATACACACACTCCCATACACTATACACACACTTCCATACTATACACACTCCCCATACACTATACACACACTCCCTACACTATACTCCCATACACTATACACACACTTCATACTATACACACACTCCCATACACTATACACACACTCCCATACACTATACACCTTCCATACACTAATACATACTTCATACACTAACACACACTCCCATACATATACATACTACATACATACATATAATGTTCCGTATAGTTCCGTAATGTTCCTCGTCGACAGAAAAAAAGTATCATTAGCATAGAGGCAAACGGAACACATAGTGGAGTATAGAGGAGTATAGTGGCACCAGAGGCATCATGATCAATACTTGCCCTTGTGGCGTGTGTGTGTGTGTGTGTGTGTGTGTGTGTGTTTTACTTAAATAAACCATAACTTTTCTTTCTTGTATTAAAACATTTCCAGACTGTTGTATCTATAACATTTTTGAGGTTAACGGGTTGTAAAATGTTGTAAAAAAGTTAGTGTAAAAAAAAAAAAAGTTGTAAAAATATGTAAAAATATTTGTTATATTGGGTTTTTATTTTTATTTAATTTACTACATTGTTACAGTATTTTTGTTAAGTAAATATTAATTAACTTTCTAATATCATCCTGCCATCTGTAGCCCCCGACTGACAACACTGACCCTGAAACACTGACCCCTGACAACACTGACTGACCACACTGACCCTGACACCGACCCCTGACAACACCGACCCTGACAACACCGACCCCTGACAACACCGACCCTGACAACACCGACCCTGACACCGACCCTGACAACACCGACCCCTGACAACACACCGACCCCTGACACTGACCCTGACAACACCGACCCTGACAACACCGACCCTGACAACACCGACCCTGACAACACTGACCCCTGACAACACTGACACCTGACAACACCGACCCAGCAACACCGACCCCTGACAACACCGACCCCTGACAACACCGACCCCTGACAACACCGACCCCTGACTACACCGACCCTCAACAACACCGACCCTGACAACACCGACCCACAACAGCACCGACCCCACAACAACACACCCTCTGACAACACTGACTCTGACAACACTGACTGATAAACACTGACCCCCTGACAACACCGACCCCTGGATACCACCGGACCCCTGACAACACCGACCCCTGATAACACTGACCCCCTGGATAACACCGACCCCTGATAACACCGACCCCTATAACACCGACTTCGACAACACCGGACTTGACAACACTGACCCCTGATACCGCCTTCGACCCTGATAACACCGACCCTGATTAACACCGGACCCCTGACAACACCGACCCCCCTGGATGAACACCGACCCCTGGTTAACACCGACCCCTGACAACACTGGACTTTCGACAACACCAGACCCCTGATAACACTGACCCTGACAACACTGGACTGTGACAACACTCCACTCCTGTCCACACCGACCCGTGACAACACCGACTCCTGACAACACTCATCCCTGCCCACACCGACCCGTGACAACACCCACTCCCGCCCACACCTACCCCTGACAACACCCACCACTTCCCACACCCACTGCTGCCCAAACCGACCCCTGACAATACCGACCCCTTCCCACACCCACTCCTGCCCATACTTACCCATGACAACACATCCCTGCACACACCGACCCCTGCCCACACCACACCTGAGTTTATATAACCCACGCGCCTCTCCACAGTTGCAACAGTAGCAGCAGTAGTGGGGTGAGCACCGGGGGCAGCAGTGTGGGCAGCAGGAGTGGTAGCATGGGTTGTGGTGCCGTACCTCAGATCAGCATTACTCCTGACGAGGCACAAGTCCGTGGCCGGGCTCTCTCAAGACTCAACGGCTCTAGACTTGACCTGAGCAGCATGGATGGTGACCTCTCGCCTAGTGACCCAGAGGACAAGTGAGTACCTGAAGGAGGGGGTTGGACAATTGAGTACCTGAAAGAGGACAGAGGACAAGTGAGTACCTGAAGGGGGACAGAGGACAATTGATTACCTGAAGGGTGAGGGAAAGGGAAGGGGGTAAATGAGGTGGGTGAGGAGAGGAAAATAGGATAAAGTAGAAGAATGGTGTATTAGAAGGGGAGGGGGAGCGGCAGGGTGAGTATTAGAAGGGGAGGGGGCTTAGGGCAAGGTCAATAGAAGGGGAGGGGGGAGCAGGGTCAATATTAGAAGGGGGGAGCAACAGGGTCAATATTAGAAGGAGGGCAACAAGGGTCAATATTAGAAGGGAGGGGGGCAGCAGGGTCAATGGCGTAGAAGGGGACGGGGAGCTGAGGGTCAGTATTAGAAGGGGAGGGGAAACAACAGGGGTCAATATAGAAAGGGGGGGGAACAAAGGGTCAATAGTCAATAGAAGGGGAGGGGAGGCAGGGTCAGTATTAGAAGGAGGGGAGTCCAAATTAGAGGAGGGGGGCAGGGTCAGTATAGGAGGGTATAAGGGGAGGGCAGAGGTCAATATTAGAAGGAGGGCCAGAGCAGGGTCAGGTCAGTAGAAGGGGAGGGGCAGAGATCAGCCAATATTAGAAGGGGAGGGGGCAGGGGTCGTATTAGAGGGGCCAGGGTCAATATTAGAAGGGAGGGCAGGGGTCAGTGGTATAGAAAGGGGGCAGGGTCAATATTAGAGGAGGGCAGGGTCAGTATTAGAGGGGGAGGGCTGGGTCAGTATTAGAAGGGGAGGGCAGGTCAATATTAGAAGGGGGCCAGGGTCAGTGTTAGAAGGAGGGCCAGGGTCAATAGAGGGCCAGGGTCAGTATTAGAAGGGAGGGCCAGGGTCAGTATTAGAAGGGAGGGCCAGGTCAATATTAGATGGGAGGGCCAGGGTCAGTATTAGAAGGGGAGGGAGGGCAGGGTCAGTAGAAGGAGGGGCCAGGGTCAGTATTAGAAGGAGGGGCCAGGGTCAGTATTAGAAGGGGAGGGAGGGCCAGGGTCAGTATTAGAAGGGAGGGGGCAGGGTCAATATTAGAGGGGAGGGGCCAGGGTCAGTATTAGAAGGGAGGGCCAGGGTTCAGTATTAAAACGGGAGGGAGGGGCAGGCTCTATTGTGCGGTAACGGGTTGTTTGGTTCACACTCAGGATGGGATGGAGAAAGGAAACTCACAATGTGCTCTCTGTATACATTTGTATTGGATGTACAGTGCAGCTTGGTGCTGGGAAGGCAGCGTGGTTACAAGCGTGATGTAGAGAGAGCTGGTTGGTGAGGGTGCTCAGAAGACAGCAGCTGGGTCGCCATGCTCGCCGGCGGGGCGAGGGCCGCCAGGCAGCGGCGGAGGAGGAGTGTTGTTGGCTGGTTGGTGTAGGTAGAAAGAGAGAGATCACCACGGGTCAGGTCTTAAATAGCGGGGCTAGGCGTGGCTTAGTAGTTGACCTCCGTGATGTATGGCGGCGCTGGTTGACCCAGACCACGAGGCATACACTGGGAATTTGCGGAGTCGGCTACGCAGCGACAAACAGTGTTTGTAGGGTGAAATCCACTACACTATATTAGAAGGGAAGGGGGGCAGTTTCGTTTCATCATTCACCAAACACAATTACTGCCATACATTCGAAGTTCATTGTGGTATTATTGGTGGACACGTGAATTATGGCTGACAGGACTATAGATATACAATGTTAGCAAACTTCGTGCTTTTAACTCCATACTAACATGTCTGGTGGTAAATTGAAGCTTGATCTTTCTTTTTAGGAACAAGTCTTACAACGACATTAATGTTTTATTTTCTTGTCGATTTTAGGTTTTCTCTATGTAAAATTTCACACACACATTAATACATTTTATAATTCATGTAAAATATATAAATACTTTTGTTCTTTATCAATACTAATTTTACATTGTTTTCACATTCATTCATGTATTTTATTAACTATTAAAAAGTCGATCAGAGGCGAAGAGGATAAAAGTAAAAATTGAACTACTGTAGATACACTAACTGCCCAGAGTGGCTGGTGAACTCTAAAAATACAGTAAGTTTGGTGTCTAGCGCCACACCAACAACATAAGTGAATGAGAGAAACAATATTTACGAATTTAATACATTCTGGGAACCACAAACATAACTTACTACTGATCATTAATTGTATGTTTCACGTGTATTTATGGCACTACAAACATTGCTTCAGTTAATACAACTATTTTTAGTAGTGTATACAGCTAATATTTTATGTGTAGTTTGTTAAGTAAACCTTTCCAATGCTGGATAAAAGATGTCTGCTATTGGGAGTGTCCGGTATTAAGAAGTCTGTTATTAAGAGGGTCTGTTATTGTGAAGTCTGCTATTGAGAGTGTTTGCTATGAGAGGGTCTGCTATTGTGAAGTCTATCTACTATTGAGAGTGCTTGTTGTTAGAGAGGTCTGCTATTGAGAGTGTTTGCTATTGAGAGGGTCTGCTATTGTGAAGTCTATCTACTATTGAGAGTGCTTGTTATTGAGAGTGTTTGCTATTGTGAAGTCTGTTAATGAGTGTCCTATTACTTTTACTTTTATCCTCTTCGCCACTGATCGGCTCGCTAGCCCCCGGGCGATCGGTCACGTCTCTGTCACGCACTGTTGGCAAATACTGGGCATGCACCGGCTCCTGAATGTACCTGAACCAGCTCCAGTGTTGGTCAAGTCTGGTCTTGAAAGAGCTCACGGTGCTGTCACAACTCTCTGGTAGATTGTTCCAAGAGTTTACAACCCTCACTCCAAAAAGTTTGCCCTCACAGTTTCTGGACTTGCGGCTTCTTCAATCTTGAGCTGTGACCCCTTGTGGGGCAAGCGTCCGCCAGCTCAATGGGACACTCAACTGAGTAGTGCCCCTGAGATGCTTATACACCTCAACTGGTCCCCCTTGCCCGTCTGTGTAATGCTAGAGGCAAGTTCAGGCGCTCAATCTCTCAGGGTAGCTGAGGTGCCGAAGTGCAGGCACCAGTCTGGTGGCCCTCCTTTGAACATTTCAACCAACTGACAGTCCCTAGCATATCTCGGGGACCAGATGGGGTGACAGTACTCCAGATGGGGAAGCACTTCCTCCTGAAGATCGTTACGAGGGACGGACCGTCTAGATATCTGAACGACCTTCTTATAAGACCCAATAATTTATTTGCCTGATTTACCTTCTTCTCACAATGGCCCGAGAACTTCAGCTCATTGTCACATACACACCTAGGTCCTTCTCACACACAGTCTCAACTAGTGCAGTTTCATTATCCGTTGGGACATATGATACGCCTCCTTACCGTTTGGTACGCCCCAGGTGCATCCTCTTACACTTCGTGACATTGAATCTCAGCAGCCATTTCTTCGACCATTCCTGGAGCCCACAGAGGTCCTTCTGCAGCTCTTCACAGTCCGTTTGGTTCTTAATTTCCGAAATAACTTGCCATCATCGGCAAACAGTTGTATAAGAAGGTGTACAACGTCAGGCATGTCATTTATGAAACAAACAAACAACAGCGGGCCCAATACACTGCCCTGTGGTACCCCACTTACAGGTACAGATGACGATTTCGTGCCATTAATCACCACACACTGCTTGCAGTCATGTAGAAAGTCTTCTATCCACGCTAGGACATTTCCCGAATTCCGTACCCTTCCAGTTTGATTTTCAGCCTTTAAGTGGGGTACACTGTCAGAAAGCCTTGGCAAAATCTAGGTAAATATTGTCGATATTACCACTCCGTTCCAGAATATGGGTCCAAATATCCAATACCTTCAGCAATCGGTGTTAAGCAAGGCGCTATTAAGTGTCTGTTATTGAGTGTCTGTTATTGAGTGTCTGCTATTGTGAGTGTCTATTATTGAGAGTGTTGTTATTGAGTGTCTGCTGTTGTGAGTGTCTGTTATTGAGAGTGTCTGTTATTGTGTGTTATTGAGAGTGTCTGTTATTGAGAGTGTGTTATTGAGAGTGTTGCTGTATTCTGACTATATCACCTACCCTCAGGACCTGTATCTTCTGTGGGGCATTTGACAAGACCTTTACAGACAGTGGGCTGGATTTTACTGGAAGACTTGTCCCATGTTAACCAGATGCCATCACTGTCGTCAGGTGGTGGAAGTCGCCTCTCACACAACACCTCCTTGGTAAGTCCTTTCTCATTATCATTTCCTTAATACCTAATAATATTCTTGTGTACCCAGTCTTAATGTGATAAACCTTGCTGTGGCATCACTGTGAAATTTGTTTGAAAAGTTACGGTATTTTATCTTTTGGCAGGTGAGTGTGTTTCCTCTTCAGAGTATCGACGATGTAGCGCGCTCTGAAGCCATCCAAAAAAAATTTCCACAGCCATGCCTTAGCCAAAAGTTGCATTCGTGAGTCTGTCGTGTGCAAATGGTTTAGTTTTAACTTCATTAAATCCTTGCAGTTTTTAAACTTAAATAGGGAACACCAGTTGGTAAATACAAAATTTCCAGAACTTAAGAATGATTTCTGTGAGACATTGTGTTTGGTGAACCCTCACCTTCACTGCTTTATTCCTTCTGAGTCACCTGCTGTCGATTATATACAGTACACTCACAGCTTCACCACTAACACAGATGTTGTGTAAACTACTTCAACACTTAAACCTATCAAACCCTCCTGCCAAGGTTTTCTCTGTCTTCTATAATTATGAGCTGACTGAAAGGCGTTTGTTGCTATGTCTCATCTTCCAGTCACATACTTAGCAAACTCTCAGTTCTCCATCAAACTGCCCTTGACCGTCACCTTTGTTGTAGTTAATGTGGCGCTCGCTGGTCTTGGCAGAAGTTATTGTCTATATAACCAAGTGTAGAGATTAACCCACATTGACCTGACCCTCCCCGACCTCGCACTTCAACACTTGTGTTTTTAATGTTTAATCCATTCCAAAATGGTACTCTTTCTTGGCACTTTGGATTCTTCCCAACACCATCACTTGAAGACATCTTCCTGACTTTTTTTTAATGTAAGATGATCAAAATAAGAATAAAATAATGTGTTATAATACATATCCAGTCCATTAATCTTTAAGTTTCATGTTGATGATAATGTTAAGTAAATAAATTTCCAGTTCCTAGTTAACCACCAGCTAGCAGTTATTGCTCCATTGCTATACATTATGTTTCTCAATTTTAAAGACTCATCTTTTCTCCACAGCCCGTAAACCAGAGCCCATAGCCAACCATTGTCCACTGTGCCACGAAAACATTGCACCGTGGGATGATGGATGGCGGGGAGCACCTCATGCCTGGCCCCAACACTTGTCTTAACAACCCCAGGGCCTGGCAGCAAGGTGTATTATGTTACTTCAATCACTGTTTCTGTCTGGTATTGTACTTTATCCTCTTCACCACTGATCAGTTCGTTAGCCGCTTGGGCGGTCAGTTTACGTCTCTGTTACACACTGTTGGCAAGTACTGGGCATGCACCAGCTCCTGAATATATCTGAACCTGCTCAGTGTTGGTCAAGTCTGGTCTTGAAAAGAACTCGCCTCGGTGCTGTCACAACACTCTGGCAGGTTGTTCCAAGAGTTCACAATTCTCACTCCGAAAGTTTACCCTCACAGTTTTCTGGACTTGTGGCTTCTTCAACCTTGAGCTGTGACCCCATGTGGGGAGGCATCCGCCAGCTCTAGGTATGGACACTTAGCTGAGTAATGCCCTTTGAGATGTTTATACACCTCAATTAGATCTCTTGCCTGTCTGTAGTACAAGCAGGCAATTTCAGGTGCTCTAATCTCAGGTAGCTGAGTGCCAAACGGCATCAGTCTGGTGGCTCCTTTGGACATTTTCAATCAACTGACAGTCCCTAGCATATCTGGGGACCAGACAGGGTGACACTACTCCAGGCGAGGAAGCACTTCACTCTTGAAGGGTTGATTACGAGGACGGACCGTCTAGATATATTTAAGACTACTTATGTTCTTTATCTATTTAACTCTATACAGTACTGTACAGTATTAATACTACTTGTACTTTGTGTTTCGGCAGATGAGGTTATACTGCCTGACTGGGGTCATAATTTTAAGGAATTCTTAACTCTAATCTTAATTTCTATGGGTTGCCTTTACCAGACCCTCTGGACAGTATGTAACTTCGTTAGGTAGTGGGCAGAGTGGATAGAGCATTGGGTTAGGTTTTTCATTGACCAGATCGGTAAGTTGATTTACTTCAGTTCATTTGGTAGTATGTCGGTGGTCTAGGTACATGGGTAGTTGAATTCTGATCTCAGGTTCATGGACGGAAATGTCTAGATGACCTCAGTTGTAAAGGTCTGTAGAATTACTAAAGGTGATTTACACAGATTAATTCTGGTTGGTGCCAGTGAGAGTGGAGTAGCGTGGTGACAGCTGTGTTCAAGGTGGGACTTACTGGGAGTGATCCTGAGGGGTAAAATACATGGGAAAAACCGTCTCCTGAGATTCTACAAGTGCAGTGGATTTGAATGTTATGTAGTGTAATATGAATTAAAATGGTTTTTAGGAATGACAATGATGTGCGCAGTACAAGGTCATTAGGTAAGATTTTGTTAAAATTAAATGCAAATGTTTTTCTTTAAATGCTGATGATGGATCTGGGTTCATAATGAATTTTAGTACAGTCAACCCTCACTTTCTGGTCCCATTCAGCGTTTCCGTTCTGGCGGTTGCGAACAGGATGCTCCATTCATTATGTGCCTTCTGTGAAGCGGCTGGTGAGCCGCATTTTGGATCCAAACCTCCGTATCTCTCCGCCATCCGCCATGTTGTGTATGGCCTTGAGCATGGTGTGCACAAAGGTCGCCCAGTCATCAAAAACTTACCAGTTCTTCACCGCCACCTACAGCCAGCCCAAGTCAGTGATAGTGATAATTATAGTGAGGATATGGACTTATATGGACTTTGAGGGTTTTGACAAAAGTTCTGCAACCTCTGTGGTGGATAGTGATTCTGGTATTTAAAGTGATACAGGTGAGGGCCGTAATCTGCCCTCTGCCTCGGGAACCAACGCCCATCCGGTGGCTTTTGTGCACTCTTTTCTATTAATGTAAGTGTTAAAACCTAATTTATTGATATTTCTCTTAATTATTATTGTGTTGCATACCATCATAAATTAAGATATAAGGTGTGCCTGGGGTGTCAGGAGGTGCACCTGGGAGTCTCACAGGAGTACATGGGATTAACCAGAGCTGTACCTGGCATTGTGGGGTATGCCTGGGAATTGTCAGAGATGTACCTGGAATTAATGAGAGACATGTGTATCTTAGAATGTGGGACGTGTTACTAGGTGTCAGAGTGTACAGGAGTACCAGTGGAGTACTTGCATGGGAGTATCAGGGGTGTGCCTGGGGTGACAGGGGTGTGCCTGGGAATTGTGGAGGTGTACCTGGGTGTCATTAGTGTCCTGGGATTGTCAGTGAGGTGCCTGGCAGTGTCAGGTTTGTGTGGGTGTATGGGGATGGCCTGGGGTTGTCAGAGGTGTGTCTTGGGTGTGGGACATGTCTATGATTGTGAGAGTGTACCAGGGGATGTCAGTGGGTGCTTGGGGTGTCAGGTGGTGCCTGGGGTGTAAGGTGTTTTTGTGGGTGTCAGAGGTGTGCCTGGGGTAAGAGTGTGCCTGGGGATGTCAGGTGTGCCTGGGGTGTGTGAGAGTGTGCCTGGGCGTGTCGGTGGTTGCTTGGGGTGTCAGGTGTGCCTGTAGTGTCAGCGGTGTGACTGGGGGTGTCAGGGAGGTGTGCCAGGGAATGACGGTGGAGCCTGGGGTTGTCAAGGTGGCCTGGGGTGGTCAGAGGTGTGCCTGGGGTGGGGGTGTGCCTGTGGGGTGTCAGGGTGTGCCTGGGGTGGTCCTGGGTGTGCCTGGGGAGTGTCTAGGGTGTGCCTGGGGTGTTGGGGTGGCCTGGGGTGCCGGGAGGTGTGCCCTGGGGTGTTGGGAGGGTTTGCCTGGGGTGTCAGTGTGCCCAGGGGTGTCAGGGGTGTGCCTGGGGTGTCGGCAAGGTGTGTGCCTGGAGTGTCTGGGGTTGTGCTGGGGTGTCAGGGGTGTGCCTGGGGTGTGGTGCCTGGGAGTGTGAGAGTGTGCTGTGTCTGGGGTGGTGCCTGGCAGTGTCTGAGGGTGTGCCTGGCAGGGGGTCTGGGGGTGTGGCCTGGCAGTGTCAGCGGTGTGCCTGTGGTGTGTGGGTATGCCTGGGTGTTGAGCGTGTGTGAGGGAGTGACAGAGGGTGACGTAGGTGTCAGGGGTGTGCCTGGGGTGTGAGAGTGTGCCTGGGGTGTCTGCTGGTGTACCTGGGGAGTGTCAGAGGTGCACCTGGGGTTTCAGAGGTGTACTGGGGAGTATCAGAGTTGTAACAGGGTGTCAGTGGTGTACCTGGGGTGTCAGAGTGTGCCTGGGGAGTGTCGGAGGTGTGTGCTGGGAGTGTAGGAGTGTGCATGGGGTGTGGAGATGTGCCGGGAGTGTCAGAGGTGTGCCAGGTGTCAGGGGTGTGCCTGGGGTGTGAGTGGTGTGCACTGGGAGTGTCAGAGGTGTGCTTGGGGTGTCAGGGTGGACTTGGGAGGTGTCTGGGGTGCACCTTGGGTGTGGTGTGCCTGGGGAGTGTCTGGGGTGTATCTGGGGTATGTGGGGTGTGCACTGGGAGTGTCTGGGGGTGTGCCTGGGGATTATCAGAGTGTGCCTGGGGTTTCAGAGGTGTACCTGGGAGTGTCAGAGGTGTGCACCAGGGGTGTGAGTGGTGCACTAGGGAGTGTCAGAGGTGTGCCTGGGGAGTGTGAGGTGTGCCTGGGGTGTCTGAGGTGTGCCTGGGGGTGTCCAGAGGAGTGTAACTGGGGTGTCAGAGGTGTACCAGGAATGTCAGTGGAAGTACTTGGGGTGTCAAGGTGTGCCTGGGGAGTGTCAGAGGTGTACCTGGGGAGTGTCAGGGTGTGCTGGGAGTGTCAGAGGTGTACTGGGGTGTCAGAGGTGTGCCTGGGGTGTCCTGGGTGTGCCTGGGGTGTAAGTGTTACACTGGGGTGTGGGGGCCTTCTTAGGTGTTGGAGGTGTGCTGGGGTGGGGTGTGCTTGGAGTGTCAGAGGTGTGCTGGGGGTGTCAGCTCCT